AACAAGGGAACGTGTTCAGTGCAGATCAGTGAGTAAGCACAAGCCCGCCTTGTTTCAGTGCCTATGCTTAAACTGCCCCCTGGCTGAACACTCTTAGTGAACATATTAGTGAGATTTTAAATCTAAGGTTTTAGAAAACACTGTCAAATGGTATAGAGCCCATTTTTAAAATGGTGAATCCATGATTTAAATGTATGAGGACCAAGTACATACATGTATTTTACTCATGTCAGCCTTGTACATTGTCAGCTTAGGTTAGATAGCACAGCTCAGGTGCTGCTGCCTCTGATGTATGTTACCAAGAGCTACCCCTTGAGAAGTTTCTCTGCCTCAATTAGATGTGTACAGGAGATAGACTTACTCTTAGGACTTTCGATTTATATTTGGAGCCATTTCTGTTTTCTCTCTTTCAAATGGATGGGCCATTCCCAGTCCTCTAATCAAATACCAGCTTCAGCTACTTGGGAGAATGATTACTTCTCTTAGAGGTTCCCCTCCCCAACCTACTCCCATTGGATAAAACAATTCCTCCAATGGGTATTTAATCTTTACCACATTGTCTAAAAACCAAAACTGAACCCATAGCCATCAAGTTGATTCCAATTCACAGCAACCCTATAAGACAGGGTAGAACTGCCCCATAGGATTTCAAAGGCTGTAAATTTTTACAGAAGCCTCCAGTCACCTCTTTCTCCCATGGAGCAACTGGTGGGTTTGAACTACCTAGCTTTTGGTTAGCTGCCTATGCTTTAACCACAGTCCCACGAGTGTTCCTACCTCATTGTTTATGACATAGTACATTTTAGGCTAGACCATCAAACAAACCCTCAAAATTTCCTGTGATCTTGTAATGGTTAAAATAGAAACACTAAATAAGATTTACACAGGAAATATATCTTTCCAGTATGTGACATAGGGCTTGGGTGTCTATTAGTTATTTCACTGAAACCATGTTAAAAGAATGCATTTGTTTTCAGATTAACCAAAGCCCACAGCAATTGAGTGAACCAAAGTTTTAAAATTAAGGGGGAAACTTTTATAGTAGTACAGTCCATCTGCAAGCTATTTTAAGTAGTAAAATATAATAAAAAGCTTTCAGTACCTGTGGGAGATTGATGCTTTAAGTTTTACATAGATAAAAAGAAATTAGAAAGACACTTTCCTTTTTTACTGTTCAAATCCAGAAGGAAAATGTGAAATGCCTGGGAAGGTAGTAAAGAGGCAAAGGCTACTCTGTGCCAGAGCTAAGGGACCACAGATTTACAATATAAAAACTTTCATTTCAGATGTCCCTGTTTATGTGAGGCAGCAGAGGGAAGAGATGGGGGAAAAAAGGTCTTTGGAGGAACATAGGCTGGATATGTTATAAATCTCTACAAAGAAGATTTCAGGGCATAGTAGAGGTCATCACCACATTGTTAGAATGAGCATTTCTCAACAATATTATTATCTAATTTACCTTCTGATATAACTAACCTGTTAAGTGTCAATTATACATGTGTGAAGGAGCCTTAATGACAAGACAGGTTGGCAGTTCAAACACACCCAATGGCTGCATAGGAGAAAGATCTGATGATCTGGTCCTATAAAGATTATAGCCTAGAAAACCATGTGGGGCACTTCTACTCTGTCACATGGGATCGCTAAGAGTCAAAAATTGATGTGATGGCAACTAACAACAATATATGTGTGACTATTTTTATTCCTTCCAAATTTTTCCACTTGCTAAAAATCAGAATTTAGAGAGATTGTTAAATTCTTATAAGTTACAAGAAAAAATGATAATTTAACTTCCTAAAGTTGTGGAGGATATAAGGTACTTAGAGTTGTGCTTGTCATAAAGCAAGTACTTAATAAATGTTATAGCTCTTATGTGGTTTTTATTATTACTGTTAGTGATATTTCTTAACAGCACCCTGAGCACTTTTACCAGTGTTGTCTCTAATACTCTAGACAATGTTATGAAGGAGACATGCTGTTAATGTTTTTTTTAGGTGAGTGAATGGCAGTTCCAAAGGGTTAAGAGGCTGATTCTAAATTGGACTTCTTAGGCTTAAACCCAAGGCTTCTGAAGGCAAGCCCAGCCCACCTTCTCATTATTCCTTGTTCCTTATCCATTATGTTTACATTCTACTTGAGAGAGAAAAACAATAAGCAAATGAAAAATGGGAGCTTATACGTGTATACTATTTTGGTGGATGATAACTGCTGTGGCAGAAAAATAAAGCAGAATAAAGGAACAGGAAATGCTGGGATGAAGTGAGGAAATGTCATCCTCTGTACAGTTGTCAATTTATTAATGTGAGTTTGATTTAGAGACTTAAAGAAAGTGTAGGAGTAGGCTAGGCCAGTATGGGCATTGAAACGATTCCAGGAGGAGAGAACAGAAGGGTCAAAGACCCCAAGTCAGGCAGGCACATGGGTGGTGTGTTTAAAGAACATAGAAGCAGGTGTGTCTGGAATGCCAGTAGTAAGAGGGAGAGGATGAGAGCTCTCCTGGGTATACATAGAAGAGAGACACTTTCTGCTTCCTCGATTTATAATCGTTGCTGTTAGTTGCTGTTGAGTCAACTCCAACTCATGGCAACCACACATATAATAGAATGAAGTGCTGCCCAAATTTTTATGGATTCCTGTGCCAAATTTTTATGGATTCTCTAAAGCTTTACAGCCTGTACGCTGGCTGATTCTAGTCCTTGCAGACACAACTGGTGAGGGAGGAATGGAGGCTCAATAAGTATAGACCATACCCATTGTTAAAGGTTGACACACTAAGAATTAGATGTTCCAGGAAAGAAAGCAACCTGTGATGCAGGCAAATTTACCTTACCTGCTTCACAGACACAAGAGAATTAACATATATTTGTTGATTGACTCTATCAATTAATGACTGATTAAATAAGATAGTGAGTGTAAAAGTATTCTGAGGATCTATAAAGTGGTTACACAATTGGAAAAATTGCTGAAAGAGAAGAATTTAATGTAGTTCCTGAAGAATGCTTTATAGAAAGACATTTTGTATTCCAGGGGATTTTGAAAGCACGTTTTGTGTCTGAGGATTTTTTCCTGGTGGCGTGTCTGCAGAAAGCCAACTAACACACAGTTGTAGAGCATCTTTTTAGAGTAAGGCAGCAGGAAGAGACATATATGGAGTGATTCCTCTACTTGGAGACTTTACAAATCACTTACAAAGACCAGATCTGCACAAGAAATTTAGATATCAAATAATGAAGGCCTTGGGCAAGTACTAATGGGTGAAGCCAGATTACAAACTACAGGATCTCAGAAGAGAGAAAGTTCTAGTTAGTTGGGGAAGTCAGGAAAGGTATTGGAGAGGACAATAAAGGATGTGGTGGATTTGACAGGTGAGATAGAGTGGATGTCAGAATTGTTAGGGTGGGTGTGAAGTGTTGGGAACAGTATGAACAGAGTAGGGAGTGAGAAAGCACAATATGGTAGCTGCCTAACCTCAGAGTAGGAATCAAAGTGCACTCTGGCGGGCCAGTAAATTGGACGAGTTCTGAAGCAATCGTGCTAGTGGCAGCAGAATAATCTCTCCTATCCCCTTAGGGTATTCTAACAGCGAATAAAAGAGGAAGAGAGTGAACTCTCTAGCAAATGGCACCTGGGAAAATCAGACTCAGATGTGCCATTACCTTCCTAGAAAATTCTTTCTCACTCTTCTTGTGTATTCTATTTCTAAATGCCTTTGATCATCCAGTTAATGTGAGGTTCAGGATCTGCTTTGTGCCATTTCTATTGTCTAAGAAAAACTAGAAGTCTGTCTTTAGTTTAGTGAACCAAAGTATTTTAAAAGCTCATTTCTTAAAGTTGGTAATAGATGTACAGATACGCTTAATTTTACATCAGTCTGTCAACAAACAAGTTGCCAATTTGCCAAATTGTAGAGAAAGATTGTGAGGTGAACATTCAAAAAGTAATTCAGCAGCAGCAGCAGACCTGGCAGGCCGTGGTCTCGACCCCTCTGCAAATTTAATGACGCCAAATCCAAAGTGCCTGAATTTGACAGCACGAAGAGCTTTTCTGTCAGTTCCTCATTCATCAATTGATCCTGCACCTGCAATTTGGCTGATCTTGCAAGTAGGCCCCTTACTAGTGGGTCCAAACCACCTGGAAAATATTCACAGAAAAGGAGAAGAGATTTCTTTGGTAAGTTCTGGAGAAACAGACTAATGGCTCAGATCACAAACTAAGCTTATTTTTCAAAAAGATCTTTTCTTAAGTTCATGAATTCATTTTAGATAACTCTGAGATTTTCAGGAACATTTTTATGATGCTCTCTTTGTTACTGGTTTAACACCTGCCTGAAATTCACTCAACAGGTCACTGATTATGAAGATGATAGATGTTTAGAACTGAGGGGATCTTAAAGATAGAGCCAGTCAGTGATTAATGTTTATTTTATTTTATTTTATTTTGTTTTTCAGCAGCAAAATGTAGCAATTAAAGGAAGCTTTGTTATTCTTAGGTGCAATCGAATTGTCTGCGACTCATACCCACCTTATGTACAACAGAAAGAAACACAGCCCAGTCCTGTGTGAGCCCCATGATCTTTGCTATACCTGAGCCCATCATTGTAGTCATTGTGTTAACCCATCTTATTGACAGACTTCCCCTTTTTCATTGACCCTCTACTTTACCAGGCATGATAGCCTTCTCCAGTGAATGATTCTGTCTGACAAGATGACCAAAGTAGATGAGATGAAGTCTGGCCATTCTCATTTTCAAGGAGCATTCTGGCTGTGCATATTCCAAGACAAATTTGTTACTTCTTTTAGCTGTCCATGCTGCTTTCAGTATTCTTCACCAACAACACTATTCAAAAGCATCAACTCTTTATCAGTCTTCCTTATTCATTGCCCAGCTCTCACATACATATGAGGTGACCGAAAATACCATGACTTGGGTCAAGTGCACCTTAGTCTTCAAGGAGACATCTTTGCTCTTCAGCACTTGAAAGAGGTCTTTTGCAGCAGATTTGCAGTGCAATCAATATGTTGTCTGATGTCTTAACTGTTGCTTCCATTGGTGTTGATTGTAGAACCAAGTAGTATGAAGTCTTTGACAACTTCAACCTTTTCTCCATTTATCATGATGCTGCTTTTTGGTCCAGTTGTGAGGATTTTTTTTTTCCCCTTTATATTGAGGTGTAATCCATATTGCAGACTGTAGTCTTCAATCTTCATCAGTAAATGTTTCAAGTCATCCTCACTTTCAGTAAGCAAGGTTGTGTTGTCAGTGTATCCCAGGTTGTTAATGAGCCTTCCTCCAATCCTGATGCCATGTTCTTCTTCATATAGTGCACCTTCTCAGATTATTTGCTCAGCATACAGAGTGAATAAGTATGTTGAAAGGATACAAACCTGACACACTCCCTTCCTGATTTTAAACCTCGCAGTATCCCCTTGTTCTGTTCGAATAACAGCCTCCTGGTTTCTGCACAGGTTCCTCATGAGTTCAGTTAAGGGTTCTGGAATTCCCATTCTTCTCAATGTTATCCATAATTTGTTATGATCCACACAATCAAATGCTTTTGCATAGTCAATAAAATCTAAGTAAACATCTTTCTGGTATTCTTTGCTTTCAGCCAAGATCCATCTGGTATCAGTAATGATATCCCTCATTTCACATTCTTTACTGAATCCAGCTTGCATTTCTGGAAGTTCTCTGTCAATATACTGCTGCAACTGTTTTTGAATTATCTTCAGTAAGATTTTACTTGCATGTGATATCAATGATATTGTTTGATAATTTCCACATTCTATAGGATCACCTTTCTTTGGAATGGGTACAAGTATAGATCTCTTCCAGTGAGTTGGCCAGGTAGCTGTCTTCCAAATCTCTTGGCATAGACAAGTGAGTGCCTCCAGCATAACATCTGTTTGTTGAAACATCTCAGTGGGTATTCCGTCAGTTCCTGAAGCCTTGTTTTCATCAATTCCTTCAGTGCAGCTTCAACTTCTTCCTTCAATATCATTGGTTCTTGATCATATACCACCTCCTGAAATGGTTGAACGTTGACCAATACTTTTTGGTACAGTGACTCTTTGTATTCCTTCCATCTTCTTTAGATGTTTCCTGCATCATTCAATATTTTGCCCATAGAATCTTTCAATATTGCAATGCGAGGCTTAATTTTTTTCCTCAGTTATTTCAACTTGAGAAATGCCAAGTGTGTTCTTCCTTATTGGTTTTCTAACTCCAGGTTTTTGCCCATTTCATTATAATAATTGACTTTTTCTTCTTGAGCTGCTCTTTGAAATCTTCTGTTCAGCTCTTTTATCTTATCATTTCTTCCATTTGCTTTATCTACCCTCCATTCAAGGGCAAGTTTCAGAGTCTCTTCTGACATCTGTTTGGTCTTTTCTTCCTTTCCTGTCTTTTTAATGACCTTTTGCTTTCTTCATGGATGATATTCTTGAGGTTATCCTACAATTCCTCTGGTTTTTGGTCATTGCTGTTTAATACATCAAATCTATTGTTTAGATTATTCAGGAGAGATATAATCAAGGTCATATTTTGTCTCTCATGGACTTGTTTCAATTGTCTTCAGCTTCAACTTGAACTTGCACATGCACAGTTGATGGTTTATTCCACAGTCAGCTCATGGCCTTGTTTTGGCTGAAGATATTGAGCTTCTCCAACCTCTCTTGCCACAGATATAGTCAGCCTGATTCCTCTGTATTCCATCTGGTGAAGTCCACGTGTATAGGTCCAATTTATGTTGTTGAAAAATGGTATTTGCAATGAATAAGTCATTGGTCTTGCTAAATTCTGCCTTGTGATCTCAAGCATTATTTCTATCATCTAGCCATATTTTCCAACTACCAGTGATTCTTCTTTGTTTCCAACCACTGCATTCCAATCACCAGTAAGAATTAACACACCTTGATTGTGTGTTTGGTCAACTTCCAAGTGTAGAATTTGGTAAAAATCTTCAACTTCTTCATCTTTGGTTTCAGTGGTTGGTGCATAAATTTGAATAATAATAGTATTAACTGGTCTTCCTTATAGGTGTATGGATATTATCCTATCACTGATAGCATTGTACTTCAGGATAAATCTTGAAACATTCTTTTTGATAATGAATGCCACACCATTCCTCTTGAATTTGTCATTCTCAGCATGGTAGATCATATGGTTATCTGATTCAAAATGGCCAAAACCAGTCCATTTCAGCTCACTAATGCCTAGGATAGTGATCTTTATGTGCTCCATTTCATTTTTTGATAATGTACAGTTTTCCTAGACTCATACTTCATACATTCCATGTTCCAATTATTAATATTTATTTGCAGCTGTGTCTTCTCATTTTGAGTCATGTTACATCAGCAAATGGAGGTCTTGAAAGCTTCACTCTATCCACATCATTAAGGTCGGCTCCACTCTGAGGATGCAGGTCTTCCCCAGTTGTATCTTGAGTGCCCTCTGACCTGAGGGGCTCATCTTCCAGCATTATATCAGACAGTGTTTCAGGGCTATTCATAAAGTTTTTCAGTAATATATCAGACAGTGCTTCACTGGAATTCATAAAGTTTCACTGGCCAATTCTTTGAGATGTGCCTTCTTCCTTCTTCCAAGTCTTTCTTATGCTGGAAGCTCCACTGAAACTTGTCCACCATGGGTAACCCTGCTTGCATTTGAAACACTGGTGGCATCAACTCCAGCCTCGTATTAACACACAAGCCACCCGAGTACAAGAAACTGACAGAGAAGTTCATCTCCCTTAGTTGTTCCAAACTGCTCTGCTTACTTCCTGGTCTCCTTTAGCTGTTCCCAACTTCCACCAGCTCACTTCCTGGTCTCCCTTAGCTGTTCCAAACCACTGCCAGCTCACTTCCTGGTCTCCTTTAGCTGTTCCAAACTGCCACCAGCTTGCTTCCTGATCTACCAGGTCTCCCAGGTCTCCCTTGGTCTTCCCTGGTCTCCCAGGAAGCATTTATTGAATTCTAATGTGTAGAAAATTACAAAGAAGACTTAATTTGGCTAAAGTGATTCCTAGAGATTTTCTATCTTTCCATCATCTCCAAAAACTCTGAGTCCATCTCTATAAACCGCACTCATAAAAAACAAATTAGTTATGGGTAAAGTTCTCTATAACCACAATACATTTGAATTTACAATGACATGAAATGAGTCTTTTAGTGGGTCAATTAGGTTTCATGGTGCCCCTGAACACACCACCTACAGATCAGATTTCACAATGATCTGTGTAGGGTGACTTAGTTATCATCAAATTCTTCGGTAGCCTGGTAAAGACCCAGACTGATCCCTTTGACTTCACTTTCCAACAAGTTCTGCAAGAAAATATTTTATTTAAATGGGGAGAATACAAATAGAATATTGGCAGTGACTGTAATTTCCATTTTCCATTCCATCCACCGTATCCTTTTAGAATTAACCAACCTTTGAGATAGGTTATAAGCTTCCAGACAGGCATAAAGAACATTAGACAAGATAAAAGCAAGAGAGTATGAAGGGGAGATTAATAATGACTTTCCCAACAGCCTATCCAGAGATTTAAAATATTCTTTTTTTTTTTTTTTCAAAATAATCCATTTACAAAAGTAACATAATTATTAACATTCTAAAGCTATGTAGGGAGTCCCTGGGTGAAGCAAACTGTTAATGTGCTTGGCTGCTAATCAAAAGTTTGGAGGTTAGAGTCCACCCAGAGGAGCCTTGAAAGAAAGGCCGGTAATCAACTTCTGACAAATCAGCCATTAAAAACCATGCAGAGCACAGTTCTATTTTGACACACATGGGGTTGCCATAAGTTTGAGTCGACTCAAAACCAGTCTTTTTTAGAGTTATATGCTATTAAGCATAAGCATAGAATAAAATAATTAATGATAAATAAAAAAATGACATTTTATGCAATGTACAATACCTAACCCACTGCCATCAAGTCAATTCTGACTCATAGCAACTCTATTTGGGTTTCCAAGGCTGTAAATCTTTATGGAAGTTGATTGCCTCATCTTCCTCCCATGGAGCAGCTGGTGAGTTTGATCCACTGACCTTCTGGTTAGCAGCCAAGCTGCCTTAACCACTATACCACCAGAGCTCCTTCAGGATGTACAATAATTAAGGAAAATGCCTTCCTTAATATTATTGAAATAATGAAAAACAGGCCATGTAATTTCAAAAAGGCCAGCCAGGACATTTCCTCCAAACTAGCGGGTCTAAATCAGACTGCACCATGTTGTTGTTGCTGTTGTTAGGTTCTGTTGAGTTGGTGTCCTCTGATGACCCTATGTACAGCAGAATGCAACACTGTCTGGTCCAGCACCAGTCCCACAATCCTTGCTATACCTGAGCCCATTGTGTCAGTCCATTTTGTTGAGGGCCTTCCCCTTTTTCATTGACCCTCCAATTTACCAAGCATGATATCCTTCTCCAGGACATGGTCCCTTCTGACAACATGACCAAAGTAGGTGAGACAAAGTCTGTCCATTCTTGCTTCCAAGCAGCATTCCAGCTGAACTTCTTCCAGGGAAGATTTGTTAGCTCTTTTACCAGTCCATGGTACTTTCAGTATTCTTCGCCAACACCCAAACTCAAAAGTATCAACTTTTCTTTGGTCTTCCTTATTCATTATCCAGCTTCCACATGCATCATATGAGGTGATTGAAAAAATGATAGCTTAGGTTAGGTGCACCTTAGTCTTCAAAGAGCTCTTGCTCTTCAGGACTCTATAAAGGTCTTTTGCCGAAGATTTGCCCAGTGCAATACTTCGTCTGGTTTCTTGACTGTTCCTTCCACGGGTATTGATTGTGGAACCAAGTAATATGAAATCTTTGACAACTTCAATCTTTTTGGCATTTATCATGATGCTGCTTATTAGTCTAATTGTGAGGATTTTTTTCTTTATGTTGAGATATAATCCATACTATGAGCTGTAGTCTTTAATCTTTATCAGTAAGTGCTTCAAGTCATCTTCACTTTCAGCAAACAAGGTTGTGTCATTTTCATAGCACAGGTTTTGTTAATGAGTCTTCCTCCAATCCTGATGCTACATTCTTCTTCGTATAGTCCAGCTTCTCAGGTTATTTGCTCAGCATATGTATTGAAGAAGTCTGGTGAAAATACAGTTCTGACACAATGCCTTCCTGATTTTAAACCATGCAGTATCCCCATGCTCTGTTCAAATGACAGCCTCCTGGTCTATGTACAGGTTCCTCACAAGCACTATTCCCATTCTCCTCAATGTTATCCATGATTTTTTATGTTCCACGCAATTGAAAGATTTTGCATAGTCAAGAAAACACAACTAAACATCTTTCTGGTATTCTTTGGTCTTAGCCAAGATCCATCCCACATAGGTAGTAGGATGTGAATTTTCTACAGTAAACAAAGTGACCTATGTCTCCCACAGGAAGCACAGTGCCTTCCACATGTCATCATGTACACAGCTTCGTTTCTGTGCCACCTCAGCTGAGCCTCTGGCTGTACCCCAACACCTTGCCAATTCCAGCTCTGTGGGTGGTCGGGTTGTGGCAGGCAATGGCCTCCTTGAAATCCACCCCAGAAACAGTTTTTCCTTTTCAGTGCTCGTAGCTAATCCCAGGTTTGGCATTTTTACAAAAATTTCCACAGTGAGAGCTTGGGACTCACTCTAACTTTTTATGACAGCTTTGACTTTTAAAGTGGAACCAAATTGTATTTGGCAATTGCTACAGCCAAGTGAGTCTCTACAGCCAATTGTTCTTTGTTGCTGCTGACCTGTCACCTCTACTGTCCACGGTGGGGTCCAGGGAGCCAGGTCCAGCCTCGTGGGAGTGGGTGGGGGGTCTGGGGCTATGGACAGGGCTTGTCAGGTGGATCACATTGTAAGCACACCATGGTACCCTGAAGTTTGTACTAAAATTGTCAACGTTGGGGGCTGGCAAAGGAAGGGAGAGAATTGGGAGGACCTTGAGAATAAGTCTTCTTGAGACCCTGAATTTAACTTCTTAGCTGGTGCAGAGCCTGCTTCCATAGGAATCTAGATTATGGTTGAAGCCTAGGATAGAACCCCTGCCAGGTCCCTGCAGGCTCTGCGTTGGGTCTTGGCAGAAGCAGGAGGTGTCCTCATCTATTTTGGAAATGAGCCTGACTTTTGCAAAGTCAGCTGAGTGAAAGCATATCTCCTGTCAATTGTAATTAGTTTTTCTGTGTTTCTGCTCTCAATGTATAGTGGGGGATGGGCAGACATATGAACTTATATAAGTAGCCAAACCCACTGCTAACAAGTCAAGTGCAACTTATAGCAACCATATAGGACAGAGATGGGGCAATCTACTTCCATAGTGATACTGCCTCAGAAACCCAAGGAGGGGTTGCTTTGAGTCGGGTCCGACTCGACGGCACATAACAACAACAACAACATAGGACAGAGTAGAACTGCCCCCACAGAATTTCCAAAGCTATAAATCTTTAGGAAGCATATTGCCTCTTCTTTCTCCTGTGGAGTAGCTCATGGGTTTGAACTGCTGGCCTTTTTGTTAGCAGCGGAGATGCTTTAACCACTGCATTACCAGAGCTTCTTGTTGCATGAATAGGTCAGACCTTAGTGCAGCGTGCATCCCTGATGATCTGACATTTTGTTGAAAAGCTTGGCAATAAAACCATTTTAACTAGCTATAAAGACTTACTTGTGTGTTATAGATTAAGTTACTGTAAATCCTGGATTGGGAGCTCTGGTGGCGTAGTGCCTAAGGCATTTGACTGCTATGACCACTAACCAGAAGGCTGGTGGTTCAAACCCACCAGCCACTCCTCGGAAGGAAGGTTGGGCAATCTACTTCCATAGTGATATTACCTTGGAAATCCAAGGAGAGATCACTATGAGTTGGGTCCAACTCGATGGCAGTGTGCTGTGCAAAGCCTGGATTTATTTATTGGATTAAAAAAAAAAAAATTATTGTGCTTTGGGTGAACGTTTATAGAGCAAATTCATTTTCCATAAAGCAGTGTATATACATTTTGTTTCATAACATTGACTGTACTTCCCCACAATGTAACAGCTCTCTTCCCATTTCCTCCTTGTAGTTACCTCTTCCTTATGCATTCCTGCTCCCCTGAGCTATTTCTCTGTGCAAACATTTCCCTTCTGTTCTTCCATGATAAATCACTCTAAGGAATGTATCTACCTGATGTAAATGTTCATCCTACATGCTTGTCTCTTGTTTTTCTGGAAGCCACAGGAGTGAGTTCAGTTCCAGACCTGAAAGTAAACTTGAAGCCGTAGCCTCAGTGGGTCTCACCAGGCACTATCAGACCAGTAAACCTGGTCTTTTATGATTTTGAGTTTTGTTCCACATTTTTTTCCCCACTTTATTCAAGGTCTCCTGCACTGATCCCTTTCCTAGTGGTTGACAGTGGTAGCTGGGTACTGTCTAGTTCTTCTGGTTTCATGGTAATATGGGCTGAGGATTTCATGATCTACTAGTCCCTTGGACCAATTGTTTCCATGCATCTTTGGTTTTCTTCATTCTTATTTGCTCTGGATGAGGAGAGACCCATTGTTGCATCTAGATGTTTGATTGCAAGCTTTTAAGACCCAAGTTTCTACTCACCAAAGTAGGATGTAGACAGTTTTTGTGTAGTGTGTTATACAAATTGAGCTTGATGTCCCCTGTGACCATGGTCCCAAACCCACAGGTCCAACTATTCACTCCCTTAGGGTGGTTGGCTGTGGCCAAGAAGTTGTCATAGCTTGTCCATGCAGCCATGGCAAATACATTTGATGCTTTTTTTTTTTTTTTAAATTTTTATTGTGATTTGTGTGAAATTTTACAAAGAATATTTTTTTTTTACTTTCAACAGTTCATATACATTTATATATGTGGGACTTTATGGCTAAGAATTACAACATAGCATGGCATGATTTGTTGGAGTTAAATAAATTGCAATTGCAAATAGGCATGCAAATATGTAAAAAAATAATTTCAGAAATATTGGATAGAAATTTAATCTGCCTATGGAGTAGTATATTCTGTGAATTCTGAAGAACTTCAGAAACATGACAAAAAGTGTTTATGATGAGGAGTATATATTTAAGAAACAAACAAACAAACAAAAAAACACCAAATCAAACTCACTGCCATTGAGTCAATTCCAACTCATTGTACCTCTCAGTGGGTTTCCAAGACTGTAAATATTTACAGGAGCAGACTGCCTGATCTTTCTTCTGTGGAGAAGCTGGTGGGTTCAAACCATCAGCCTTTTGGCTAGCAGCCAAATGCCTTAACCACCACACTACCAGAGCTTCTTATGAAGAGTATAGTCTTTTAAAATAGCTTTGAATAAAATTATTTTCTCCATAAGCATTGATAATTTATACAGTCATCAACCAAATATAAGAACACAAAAACTAACTACATGCCCTATGCATTACATGATTACTAGTTATATCTGAGAAACAGAAAGAAAGAACATACAATGAAGCCTAAGATAAAAGAAAGAAACCTACCTTCCCTGATAAGTCTCCATGGACTAAAGAAGACATCGTGCAGATGTAACTTGGGGAGGTCTGGATGTTCCTGAAAGTGATCATCAAGCCGCCTCACAAGTGGATGAATTGTGGCATGTCCAAAGCGGAAAGCAGCCGTGGAAAATACATTGGACACTGTTGGGTTCACTGTGGAATCATATCCTTCATAGGGACCCACATATTGCTGGAAGGCTTCTGGGCCCAGGATTTTTGGAACGTAGTCTCTCATAGTAATGATCTATGGAGAAAAGAAAATATGTGAGTTTTGAGCAGGGACTTATTTGCAGCAAAGCCCAGAAATGAATGGTTAAAATAAAAGTAAAAGGGTAGAAGAAATTCTTGAACAAGTCTGAAAAACTTCATATTCAGAGAGCGTAGTCACTGAAGAGGATACATGCCATTAAGAATAGGGAACAGGCAAAATGATATCAACAGTTCCAAATAAAGTCTTAACAGTGTTTGATATTTATGGGATTAGATGAGAAATGTCAAACATTCTCAAAGGCCCACCATTGGCAGTGCTTTGGGCAAGAAAAGCCATGTAAAATTTGGCTGACATACAGAACATAAAGATTAAAAAAGAGGACTACTGCCTGCTTTTGTAGTTTTTGAAACATGAAAAATTTTCTATCCTAAAATATTTTTCCCCTATACCTCTAACTTCATCTATGAGCAATCACTAATGTCTTAGTATAAACACATAAATCAGAAATCCAGTCACTTCAAGGAATTCCAGGCCTCAGACTTATATGAGTTCTAATCCTCTCCCTGCTCTATCTTAGCTGTGTGACTGTGGTAAATTTATTTAACCTTTCAGAGGCTCCGTTTTCTTATGTGCAAATGCCACTTTCAGAGTTTTTGTTAGAATAAAAATATACATGTTGGAGATAACATATATGTAATCACTCTCCTAAGTTTACAAACAATGATACACAAAAAAGATTATATCTGATCTGATAAAAACAAACAAACAAGAAAGCTCACTGCCATCGAGTTGATTCTGACTCATAGTGAGTCCAATTGGGTTTCTGAGGCAGTGAATCTTTGTGGAAATAGATTGCCCATCTTCCTTCTATGGTGCTGCTGGTGGGTTTGAACCTCCAACCTTCTGGTTAATAGTCATATGCCTTAGGCACTGCACCATCCAAGCTCCTTAGCAGAGATTAAAAGTCCCAGATAATCTATTATTTTTTTCTTTTTTTCCCTATCAACTACTTACTAGGTCTTTGCAAGAAAGCTGCTGAAATAGAGAAGGGAAACAAAAGGAAAGTCAATGATTTCAATTAGAAACTGAATTTGTGCCATAAAATTTTATAAAAGGGGCTAAATTCCTAACTTTTTGATCTACTCTACAATAGTGCTTTGAATTGCTTAAAATGAGAGTATAGCCACCAAAAACCAACCAAACTCACTGCCATGGAGTCAGATCTGACCCATAGTGACCTCTCCTTGGGTTTTTGAGGCATATCACTGTGCAAGTAGATTGCCCCATCTTCCTTCTGAGGAGTGGCTAGTAGGTTTTAACTGCTAGCCTTCTAGTTAGCAGTCAAATGCCTTAGATACTATACTACCAGAGCTCACAAGATACAGTGAATCTTGAATATTACTTTCATAATCAGGTAATGAAACAGGAAAGGAATGGATTTAATTTTTAATTTAACTAGATCTTGGTTAACATAGCTTCCTTTTTTATTTTTGAAAATTAAAAAATCTTAATATTTAAAAAAAAATTACCTGTCAATATAAGCTATTTTTTTTAATAATTAATGTTGCTTTTATGTTGCTATTGGGAACATACACAGCAGATCATAAACCAATTCAACAATTTCTACATGTACAATTCAGTGATATTGATTACATTTTTGGAGTTAAACAACCATTCTCACCTTCCTTTTCTGAGTTGTTCCTCCCTTGTTAACATAAACTTACTGAGCTCTAGGTGTCCTATCTCATCTTTCAAGCTGCTATTGCAAATTTGATCCCATATGTTGTTTTTGTTGAGTTGGCTCTGACTCTTACCAACACTACGTGCAACAGAAAAAAAACACTGCCTGGTTCTGTGCCATCCTCACAATCGTTGCTATACTTGAATCCGTCATTGAAGCCACTGTGTCAGTCCATCATGTTGAGGCTCTTCCCCATTTTTGCTGAACCTCCACTTTACCAAACATGATATCATTCTCCAGGGAATAGTCCCTTCTACCAACAGGACTAAAGTAGGTGAGATGAAGTCTGGCCATGTTTGCTTCCAAGGAGCATTCTGGCTGCACTTTGAGTCAGATTTGTTCATTCTTCTGGCAATTCATGGTATTTTCAGTATTCCTCACCAATACCATAATTCAAAGGCATCAACTTTTCTTTGGTCCTCCTTATTCATTGCTCAGCTTTCACCTGTATATGAAGTGATTGAAAATGCTGTGGTTTGGGTTAGGTGCACCTTAGTCTTAAAAGTGGCATCTTTGCTTCTTAACATTTTAAAGAGTTTTTTTTTTTTTTTTTTTGCAGCAGGTTTGTCTAGTGCATTATGACCTTCGATTTCTTGACTGTCTCTTCCATGAGTGTTGATTGTGGATTCAAGTAAAATGAAGCCTTTGACATCTTTAATCTTTTCTCCATTTATCATGATGTTGCTTATTAGCTCGTTTGTGAGTTTTTTTTTTTTTATTTTTTTTTATTTATGTTTAGGTGTAATTCATACTGAAGGATGGATGTGATCTTCATCAGTAAGCACTTCAAGTCATCTTCACTTTCAGCAAGCAAGATTATGTCATCTAATTATGATAAGTCTTTTTCCAATCTTTATTCCACATTCTCCTTCATATAGTCCAACTTCTCAGATTATTTGCTCAGCATATATATTGAATAACTATAGTGAAAGAATACAGCCCTGGTGCACTCCCTTCCTGATTTTAAACCATGTAGTATCTGCTTCTTTTTGAATGACAGCCTCTTTCTTGGTCCATGCACAGATTCCTCATGAGCACAACAAATATTCTGGAGTTACAAATCTTCACAACATTATCCATAATTTATTATGATCCACATGGTCGAATATGTTTGCATAGTCAATAAAACACAGGTAAACATTTTTCTTTGCTTTCAGCCAAGTCTCATCTGACATCAACAATGATATCCCTCATTCCACATCCCGTTCTGAATCCATTTTGGATTTCTGGAAGTTCCCTGACACTATGCTGCTGCAACCATTTTAAAATTATCTTCAGTAAAATTTTACTTGCATATAATATAAAATGATATTGTCTAAAATTTCCACATTCTGTTGGATCATCTTTCTTTGGAATGGGCACACATGTCCATCTCTTCCAGTTAGTTGGTCAGGTAGCTGTCTTCCAAATTTCCTGGCATAAATGAGTGAGCATCTCCAGTGCTGCCTCTGTTTGTTGAAACATCTCAATGGGCATTCCATCAATTCCTGGAGCCTTTTTTTTTTTTTTTTTGCCAATAGTTCAGTGTGGCTCAGACTTCTTCCTTCAACACCATTGGTTCTTGATCATATGCTACCTTCTAAAATAGTTGAACAATGACCAATTCTTTTTGGTACAGTCACTCTGTGTATTTCTTCCATCTTTTTTTGATGCTTCCGGTGTTGTTCAATATTTTGCCTATAAAATCATTCAATATTGCAACTCAAGGCTTGAATTTTTTCTTCAGTTCTTTCAGCTTGAGCAATGCCAAGTGCATTTTTCCCTTTTGTTTTTCTAAATACAGGTCTTTGCACATTTCATTATAATATTTTTTCTTCTCAAGCTTCCTTTGAAATTTTCTATTCAGCCCTTTTAGCTTGGCATTTCTTCCCTTTACTTTAGCTACACTCCGTTCAAGAGCAAGTTTCAGTCTCTTCTGAAGACCTCCACTTTGGTCTTTTCTTCCTTTCCTGCTTTTTTTTTTTTTTTTTCTTTTTTAAAAATGATCTCTTGCTTTCTTTATGTATGATGTTCTTTATGTCATCCCACAACTTGTCTGGTTTCCAGTCTTTGTTGTCAGTGCATCAAATCTATTTTTCAGGTGGTCTCTAAATTCAGGTGGGATATAATCAAGGTTGTATTTTGGGTCTCATGGACTTGTTTTAATTTTCTTCAACCTCAACTTGAATTTGCATATGAGCAGTTGATGGTTTGTTCCATAGTCAGCTCCTGGTCTGGTTTTGACTGAAGATACTGAGTTTCTCCATAGCCTCTTTCCACAGATGTAGTTGATCTGATTCATGTGTATTCCACATGGTGAGGTCCACTTGCATAGCTGCCATTTATGTTGTTGAAAAAAGATATTTGTAATGAATAATTATTGGTCTTGCAAAATTTTATCATGTGATCTCTCATGTCATTTCTATCAACAGTGTCATATTTTCCAACTATTGATGATTCTTCTTTTCTTCCCACTTTCACAATCCAATCACCAGTAAGAATCAATATATCTTAATTGCATGTTTGGTCAATTTCAAACTGCAGAAGAAATCTTCATCTTTAGCTTTAGTGGTTGGTGCATAAATATTAATAATAATGGTAATAACTCATCTTCCTTGTAGGTGTATGAATATTATCCTGTCACTGACCTGAGTTAACTACCAGAGCATTATTCCAAGGATAGTAATCAGCTGGCAGGCTGGTGCCATGGCATCTCAAAGGGAATACACAACAACCCTTTCCACTCTGTTTTAGTAAGTCACCATGGTCCATAGCATGAGCCCTGGATCCCAGTCCAGTTGACTAGTTCAGGCTCTGTCTCAGGACAGATTTTGAAACATATTTTTTTGACTCTGAATGTGACACCATACTTCTTCAATTTGTCATTTCTGGCTTAGAAGACTATATGATTGATTCAAAATGGCCAATACCAATCCATTTCAGATTACTAAAGCTTAGGATATTGATCTTCATATATTCCATTTAATTTTTGACAATTTCCAATTTCCTAGATTCATACTTTGTACATTTCATATTCTGACTATTAATGGATATTTACAGCTGTTTCTTCTCATTTTGAGTTGTGCCCATCACTAGATGAAGGTCTCAGAAGGTTTACTTCATCAATGTCATTAAGGCCAACTCTACTTTGAGAAGCCACTTCTTCCCCAGTCATATTTTGAGTGCCGTCCAACCTGAGGGGCTCATCTTCTAGCACTATATCAGGCAGTGTTTCAGGGATATTCATGAAGTTTATATCCAGCAGTGTTTCACTGCTGTTCATAAGGTTTACACTGGACAGTTTTTTTCAGAA